TCCCTTATTTGGGGAACCCTGGCTTAAGCAAGCTCCCAACTGTTGAAGCACAACACATTCCCAAGAAGCTGTGCTCAACTGAGAAACCTTCAGGTAGAGGGCCCCATAGCCTTGTCAATTGGCATATATTGGGTGCTCCCCCCCCACGCAGTAACAATCTGTGAAAGGGGGTAATACTAAGGGCTATATATACTCATACTATAGACATTATCCGACTGTTGCTGAGTGGGGGCAGTATCCAAGGCATGTACCTGGAATTCTTGAGGGAGCCATAAATCATTGAAGGTCTTTTTCTGAATTCGGGGTATTGGGCTCTCTGGGTCCTGAGTACGGTAACTTTTAACAAGCTATGGACCTACGATCTAGTGGAAGATATCACGTACTGTTTTTCGCAGATGCAGGAATAGCGCGCCCTTGGAGAATGGCGGCACTTTTGCGTGTAGGCATGCAAAGTTCATCACTTCAAGTGCCATTGTATTTGGCAAATACCACACACTCTCTGCCAGAAACCCCATAACGGACTTACCTCGACTCACCTGTGCGAAGATGTCAAAACCAATGAGTCCAAATCCATCCCAGGTGCGGGACGTGATGTCATCTGCATCTGCTCCGTCGAACAGGGCAAGTGCATCCTGCATGGGAAGGTTTGCACAAGACACCTTTGTTTTTGTCTCCAGCGGCGAAGTTGGTTTTGTGGTTTTGGTTCGGGGATGGTAGTTCAGGATTTAGGGGGATTTACGGCTTAGACTCTAAACTTCAAAGTTCAGCCTTGGGCGCACCTTTAGGGGTTTCGTCGCTGGGGAGAGTGCAATCTGGAGTTGGCTGGCAAAAAGGTAGCGGGTTGAGGTTAGATGGTCCAGGGTAAGCAGCCAAGGATATATTTTTGGGTTGTATTTCGACTCAGACCTGTGATGTTGAATTTAAGTTCAATTCGTCAAGCCTCAGAGAAACATCTGGAAAGAACATGTGTAGGCATTCTAGACTGGTTCTTTAAAACATGTCTCGAGCAACCCTGAATATGGACCTTCTGAATGCGCTGTAATCCTCCTTTGGACCCCCTGGTGTCTTCAAGCGCCGCCTTTTTGAGAAAGCGCCCACATGCCTTTTGACAATTTGAAGTCGGAACCTGCAACCGTAGCACGACCATCTCAGAATCAAGAACCATGTGAACACCAAAGAACAAACCCTTAAACCCGGAAGCTAAACCTTAAAACCTTAATCAACCAAGGCCGCCCAGACGGTTGACAGGAAGTGAAGGAATCGGTTTTGAGGACCAGAATAAGGGATTTCCCTGAGAAGATCTGAAGCTCAAAATTCTGTATTTGCAGTAATAACAATCCTGAAGTAATGGAGTGCCCCAACATCTTCTTGCAGAACTAATTTTCAGATCCGTTTAGCAGTCTGGGTATGTAGGGGCTGAATTGGGATCCATTCGTTGTGAACCTCTGAGGACAACACCATCTGCACCTCAATGGGGGCCTATGATAGTGTTTGTGTGGCAAGGATTGAGCCATTTGTTATTCCTACAACCTAAAGCCCCATCCCGTCTCCGAGCCCAACAGAGAACAAAAGCAGCAATATGCTGGAGGATTCCTGAAATTGTGGATTGCCATGTGAGTACGTGGGGCAAGTAGATTCCTTTTGTTGAAATTCTTTCGGACAAATCCGGTTCCATCACGAGACGCGTAAGATTAGATTTACTGAATGCCAGTGCATTCTTAGCATGAGCCCTCATGATTTGCCTGGTCTGATCTAACTGAAAGCCGGAGCCGGCGAGAATGGCAGGAATTGGGAATGTAAGTTCGAGCCCATTATTACCAAAATGAAGTCTGAGCTCTCAACGCGAAGCATCCTAACACAAATCCTCAACCCATTGCAAAAGTAATGTTCATGCACTACAGCTGTTGCCCTTGAGCGAAGAACCACAGAAGTCTTGTGCCAATTTTTCAGTCTACCTGTACCCCAAATACGAATGACCTGTCTTGGAACCACTGAATTTGAAAGGACTTACCTTTGGTTAGATGGGAATGAAGGAATGGAAAGTAAATGGAAACTACTGCAATAAGTGATATAGGCTTAGTAGGGACTACTGTAAGGATCTATTCCTTCATTAAGAAGTATTGGCTGCAACTGTGGACCCTTGACCCCGGAATTGTGGTACACTTGTTGTTCCGGTTAAGTAGTTGAATATGGTTTAGGGTTTTAGGGTTTAGCGTCCAATCTCGCTTAAGTAGGGAGAATATGGAGTCCCCTCAACCATAGTAAGATTCCCAAATACCCACTATTCTATCTACTTGCTGTTGATGGATGAAATTTTGCACCACCTAGGGTCCCCAAACTACTGTACTTCCAAGGACTTTAGGGACTTCAGGTGGTGCACGATTTCCTCCATCAACAGTATGGGGGGGCTTTAAGATGCAGCGCGCACACCCGAAAGGCCCTTTTAATCTTCCCAAAAAACCCAGACCCCCTGAAGGATCCAAAAAATGGAACCCCCCCAATATGAACCCAATACTACATTGGGGAAACTAGGGGATTCTTAGGGGGGTTCCATTTTTTGGATCCTTTAGGGGGTCTGGGAAGCTCAAGCCCATACTGGTACAAGGACGGGCCCCAGGGTCTCAAACCCTAAGCCTAAACCCCTCAATCCTAAATGCTCAGCGCCCCCGATGCAAATCCCTCAAACCTTATACTCTAAACCCTGACCGCTAAAGTCTGAAATCCAAAAGCCTGCCACGCATCTCCGGCTGCGTAAACACCTATGGCGGCATTTGTTGCCACCTGCGCGACTCGAAGACTTGGCTGGTTCCGTATTTAGGGTTCAGGAGTTTCGGGGTGCTCTCCAATAGTTTTGGTTTAATGTCCCATTGGCTTCCCTTACCACCACCCCTACACAATCCCTCCAAATTTCCGCAAGTAGCCTCACCAGCCCGAATTACGCCGAAGTTGCGTTCCCGCTTCTCACAAGTTCCGTAACACGGGCCATGGCCATTACACTACCCCCACTCCCCTTCATTCTACTCACACTACTGCCTTTGGCTTCCCGTGTGTTTGCTGAACGGAGCGCGGCCCAAACCCTACACCCGTAGGGTTTTGTGACATTATACAGCCCATGTGGCCATAAGATTCTAAATGGCTTGGTCATATAAATGCCATAGGGTTCATATCATTAAAGGCCCATAAGATTGTTTTAGGCCACTCACCTTTGGGCAAAAACCACCATAAGGTAGCAGGCTAAATGATGAGGACACAGCTTTCGGGCAGAATATGTTATAATTATACCAGGGCTAGCAGAGGATTACAAAGGTATTTTTTGAAGCTCATGCATAACCCTCTGAACCCTGAAGCCCACAGTACTCTTCCATGGCGCACTTGATTGAGCTCCAAGTTGTTCTCTTCTGCGCGCTGCAGAAGCCTCCGCCACAGGTTTGAAAGCACTAGGGCCTCAAACAATTCGAGGTCTGAATGTTTGGAAGTTGAGCTACGTTGTACCATATACCCTAAACCCTATATGTATCTAGATGTAGTAGGTTGGCAACATTCCGACCGCTCAGGGAATCCACAATGATCAGTGCTACGTCACCTGAGTTTTTTTTGGCCACGCTGGCTTTTCTGTGTAACGGGGATGCTAGGAAACACGCTGCCTGGTCCCACATCACATGTAAGAGTAGGGAGCAGACATGCATCCTCAAGCGCTTAGCCCCTAAATTCGACTGCGTTCAAAGCCGCAACTGCGGACTTCTGAAGAACTCTGAACTCCTTAAGGGCGGGGTATATAGGGGATTATATAGGGGACCACTATAGGGGATATTACGGGGGATACTAGGAATTTCTCTTGCTTTGAAGCTTAAAAGACCAAGGCGTGTCTTGGATGTCTACATGGCCAGGCTAAGCCCCCCAAACAGGTGCCCTAAACATTCCCTAAGGGTCCAAGGACTCAAATAATAGGGCTTTAGGGCCCAAATACTATAATATGAATGGTATTTGGGTCCCAAAACCCTAATATTTGGGTCCTTGAACCCTTAGGGATTGGCAGTCAACAGGACATGGGAGTTTCTGACGGAAACCTCAACCCCTATAATTGACATATTATCCTCCCATATCCCTTTAGTCCCAAGGGTGTCCAAGCAGAAACGAAACCCTGAACCCCCTTGTAGCGGCATGTACAAGCCCTGTTTTTCAAGATTCAGGTGTAGGGTTGACGGTCAATAACAACTCTACTTCGGCGGGCCTTGCCAAGGCCCGCATGCCTGCCTAAGACAAGTATGTCGGCATTTCTCACAATTAGGGTCCCGCTACAGGCCCCTCCACACTATGATTCCCATATTTGATTGCTGTGTCGGTACAGTACAATAGTATACCCCACACCATAGACCCCTGCAGTAAGGTCTGTACTATCAGGATCCCAAACAAACAAGACCTGACCCTACGCCAAATCCAAACTCTGAATGGCAATCCCATACCTTCAAGCCAACCCTCCAGCTTCAGATGGTTTAGGGCTGAGGGTTTGCCGAACGCTATCTGGCACCTCCAAAGTAGTTCCCTCTGTTCTTTTTTTAATGGTTTTATGGCTTGAACCATCAGGACCTGAAAAGGGTACTACATATGGAAGGTCTGCGTATTGCGCCTTGTAGAATCGCAGGAGTTAACATTTCTGGTTTTTTTTCAATCTCAGATTTCTAACAGCCCAATGAAGCCTGACCGTGGCCCCACTAGATTATTTGTCCTATGGGCATCCCTTACACATCTAAACAGTAGGAACGAGTTTACAAGGACACGAACCAAAGTTTGGAAGGGCTTTGCAGTTTTGGTTTGATGGCTTTCACTATATTTGTGTTCTCGACGCTTTGGGTTTGATGAGATGGGGTGGACGCCTGAAGTGTGGTACGTTCCGAAGACGTAGGTGCTTGATCCCACAATCCTGTATTTAAATCCTAAACATTCAATGCTAAAGTTGAAGCGCTATCGATATTCGAATCCTACATCTCCAGCCTTATCGCCTCCTGCCACGCCGAGCCCTCGCTGCAGGCAAAGAGAGTCGAGCCTTGGGCATACTAAAGAAAGGGGTCACAACCATTACACGGAGGGTGTACCTCACATCCACCTTACATGCCCAATATAAATCCCCACCGAGTCCACAAAAAAGCCTTACACACAGCTTGTACTTCCACTGTATAGTCCCCCCCGCTTTGCTGCAACCTCCCGAAAGGAGGCCCTGCGTGACACGCGTTCGTGTTTTTGGGTTTCAGGGGCTGAAGGTCTGAGTTCCCAAAGAGCTGGGCCATTATCTTAAACATGTGACTTCTTTTGGCAAAGATTGACTATGCTACCCTAAATACAATCCCTTCATTCAAGACATGAAGAGCATGATGAAGAGTGCGCAGAAACCTCATGTTATAACTGTCGGTTACGCAAACCAGGTTTTGGGGGGACTCTTATGATAAGGATAATGTTTACAGGGCGTAAAAGGGACTAGAATTTAGAACTGCCAATTTGACAGAACGGCCAAGTTGCTTCATTTTGTCCCACTTCCTGGTGACAATCCCCTGGGCTAATCGCAGAAATGCAGTGCGTCGTGGAACGGCAATGTAAGCAAACAAAATTGTGTAGCGCAGCTTCTCAGGGTCTAATCAACTCGAGCATTCGATGACGTTCGTGTACCTGTACCATCCAAGTCCTGATATTTGGTAGTTTCCCGAAAAACAGGGCCCACCCCCCAATACTATAATCCTCATTATGGGGAGCCCCAGAAAGGTACCCCTAATTTTGGGAAAACACCATATGGACTGTTTGTTATTCGAAAATTTATGGTGGAAATTTAGTGGTACCGGAAGAGACCCGGGGTCAACCGAAAAGCTTAGATCTAAACTGTAAAGCCGGGTTCCTAAACCTGAGCCCCTAAACCCCTGAACCCTTCTACCCCGAAACCCTAAATCCCTAGACCCCTTGACTCCTAAATCCCTAAACTCTACCCGCTCCTAAACCCTTCACCTCTGTACCCTAAACCGCATTAAGCCCTAAGTGGGGCCCTAAGTCAACCTGGAGCCTTCTTTGGGATGATGAAGGTGTGCTGATCTCCGGATCGTAGGCTTCAGCCGAAAACCCGGCCTTTAGAACTTTGGAAATTTCAAAGGAAGATAACCCCAATATTATAGCGGTTTCCATTTTCTTTTCCATTATCCCTATGTAACCCAACATAACCCAAAGGATTCCCTTTTAAGAGCTTAGCCGTAGTCCCTAAACTTCAATCTCAAAGCTCAAATTTGCAAGCCCTGAACCCTGCCTACAAGCTACCCCAAGCCCTGAAACCGTGATTCCTAAGCTCCAAACCCAGCCCCCAAACCCAGCTCCAAACCCCTACCTCTTAGTTTTGGGACCTCAAGTACGGGCTTCTTAGAAGTATGGGTCCCGTTTTTGGGTCCTAAAATCAAGGCCCTGGCCCATGGTACCATAGCAGTATGATGAGGGAATACGCGTCCCGACTCTGGAAAATGTTCGTAAAAGGGATGACAAGGCGATTTGTGGTTCCCTGTCAAAGATTTGGAAGTTCTTCTCCCTTAGTAGTCTACCTCCTATCGCCAATGCCTCCTAGCATTAGCCCATAATCCCCATTGCTACGTCGACTTTCTATATCAAGAGATATTCTACGTATGGCTTACGGTTTAGGAGCCAAGACCGGCGCTGAGCATTACAGCATCTGCTGGGATACCGAAGCCCTGCGGATGGCAGGCAGTTCTGTTTCACAGACAAAATCAGGTTTGGGGGTGGGGGGTTTAGGGTTTGCGGTGTTAGGCTTGGGGGGTTTAGGGAACAAGGGTGCAGGCATGGCTCATGCAAGATTTTATGCGCTTGAATTGTGAGAACCAGGGCAGTACGGTATACTTAAGGAGATGCACGAGTGCGTCTGTAAACAGTTACCCCTAAACCCTACACCGTGTGGCTGTGAACCCTAAACCCGAAACGCTAAACCCTAAACCCAGGGGTGAAGGTATGGGGATTGATATTCAACTGGAGGTGGCTACTTGGTACTGTCTATAAACACGGGAGCCTAATATAGACCCCCAAATACTATAGTATTCTTTTGTATGCGGACCCTTGAAAAGGCACGCCTGATTTTGGGATACCTTAATCCTTATAAACCCCTGTGTAATCCTGGTTTCCATTTCATTTTCCATTGTCCCTTCCATTTGATTATCCATAATTGGGGGTAATATCATGGTCCCTTGGTAACCACAAGGCGTGTCTGCCAAACCCCTTGAAGTAGTTGTCACGGGCTCAGAGGTGAGGTTGGGGATTGAGTTTGACATAAAAGAAAGGTGCGTCTTGGGGAACAAACGGATGCGGAGAAAGCCTCCATCATTCCTCCTGCCTACAAGTGTTGCTTCTAGAGTTCAAAGTGCGGGCTAAACTTTTTCCGCCCCTAGAATTTTGGGGTCCTGGTATCCCCGGTACATACAATTCAAATTTTCCTATTGACCATATTAATCCATAGTCTAAACTCCTAGTATACCCCTTAATAACCCCTATAATACTCCTCTATGTAATCCCCCCTCTACGGAGTTCTCACTGTAGACCTATAATCCTTCTACATTATACAGCCCTGGATGATTGCGCAAAGAGAGGCGCCATTCCGTGTTGCGTAGTGTAATTATTTCCTATAGTGGGATGACACGTATTTGTAAATGCCGTGTAATGGTGGGAAGAATGCAATCTCAAGTCGCACTTCCACACCAAGTGACAAATTATCATGAATGCCACATTACTGTGCGTCAAACCTAGGCGATGGTGCCTGGTTTTGGTAAGCTGCACACTGCAACGATTGGATCTTTAACTCTCACATGACACTTACGCGGTCCTTATGACAGGGGTTGCGTTAAGCACAATCTGCTATAAAGCTCTGTGTAAAGCCAGATTGCACTTCATCTGTATTCTACTTTTTCATTTGAACCTTCATTCAACTTTTTTTGGGGGGTTGGGGTTGCCGAAATCCTGTTATTAATGTGGCCGGCCCTTGCTTTCAGTTCCTGGGGGCGTTATAGACTGTATCAAGGTTGCGTAATGCAAGCATCTAACCGTAAACTCTGAGCCCTAAGCTTCAAATCGCCAACACTTAGCTCTAAACCATACTCCCACATGAGAAGCAACCATAATCCCAAATCAGAAGCCACAGATCCCAAACCTCCAGCCCTGCATAAATCCTGTGATATGCCTCCATTTCCCATGTACCTTAATATGTCCCTGTAGCTCTGCAACCCTGATAAACCAACTCTGCTAATTTTTTTGGTCTAAATTCCTAGTATCCCCCTTAATCACCCACCCCTCTAGCACTCCCAAAAAAGTCCCCCAAAGGATTTCGGACTATGGCTCGTTTGGTACCTCCGCTCGGCTGAAGAGTGCCAGTGCCGCCGCCCAGTCCGCTGCATCCTGCGCTTGAGGCGCCGAGGGGAAGGAATTAGGTGTCCCTTTAAGTGGACTACTTTGGGTACTGCCCCCACCCTGCAACAGTCTATATTGGGGGTCACACTTCTAGTGCCACTAACTGGCCTCTAATATCGTCACCCCAAACATAAGGTTGGTTCTAATCTCAGCTATATGTACCTGCGGTGTCTTGGACTAACGACTGTGGAACAGGAGACAAGTTCTGAGGGGCGAAGAAAAGTAGCATTTAGGAGGAAAGGGGGGGGTAGATTTTAGCATCTAATGAAAGACACACAAGCTTGTGTATGCGAACTCTCAAGACCCTCTAACAACGAGAGGGACTTGGTGACCCCAATGCGTATAATACGGACCCCATAAGAGTTACATGATAGTCATAGGCTCCTTCTTCTAAGGTTCAGGGTTACTAACATCCTGTTATCACCTAAGACACTTCCGGCTGAGGTCTTCTTGCCGAACTGGGGGAGTGAATACAGGTACCATAAGGATTAGGGGTTCAGGACGATGATGCGGGACAATACTATGGTGTCGGGGAGGAGAATCGCGATACCTATACCTTGCTTTAAAGCTCACAACGATAAACGCACTTGAAAGCCCCACAGGTACAAAAACCTGCTATGATCGGGTGCTTCATCCGGGTACTATTGAAAAACATTTCAGTTTCCTGCATGGGTTTGAGTCTAACACCGTTTCCGCCGCTGCTTAAATAATGAGGTTGATTGAAGAAAGGTGCTCAGCACTTCGCCGGACCTTCAGAGTAGTAGTCATGCAATTGTCTGGGGTTCGGACGGCTGCGGCGAAGATTGCAGAGCTGAACACCTCGGGCAAATGGCTATGGACCTACCTCGGACTCCTGCTAAACAATTTGAACTTCAACTGTTCAGTAGGCAAAATGCAGAAACTTGATTTCAAATGTTGTTTCAGAAATCATCCAGAGAAACACGGCTTGAGCACTGCAGGACGGGTCCCCTCTTATTGCTCCACATACTATAATACGATTTTAACGGACCATCAGAAGAGACCTCCAACTTTTTGAAACCCCGACATGCAACTTCATGTTGTTTCCTGTTAAGAGGACTGCCGTGTGTGAAATGTAGGGTCTAAATATCTAGAATATGGTTTTGGGACGCATTCTGCTATCATTACATAAGCATTGCTAGGGAACAATCTTGGTGATAAGACTGGCAGTTCTTCTAGATTCTACATTCTGGGTTGGCCCCTAAAGCCCTTTGAAAATATTCGTATATAGGGTCCCTTATTAAAGCCATTAGGGAAAATATCAAACATTTCAGGGGCCTACCCAGCATTAAAGCCCCCTTGCCAGCAGGAAGAGTAGCCGGTCGTAGTGGCAGTGGTGGTGACCGCTGGCAGGGGCGGCAGCGGTGGCATGAAATAGCGGCAGTCATTTGATAAACCCTCTGATATCCCGTGCCCCTAAGAATACTTGCTACTGTGCGTCCGCTTGGGAAGATCTGAATTGCGCGAAAAGTGGTTGCAAATTGGGCGAAACTGCAGAAAAGAATGCTGGAGGCCCAAAAATGTTCCAGTAGGGTGAGGGGGTTTACTTTTCTGTAGTAATACTTGGATTGCGATGGATTGTCTATCGTACTTTCACGCTTTAGCAGTAAGCACGCTTCGAAACTTCTTTGTCTTTCGCTCTCAGCGGCTTTCCAAAGCTTATGGGTGTTTGAGGGAAAGGCATGGAGTGAACAAAGTTGACACAACAAGGCACCAACCGGGTAGATTCCTTGAGGCTCCCTACGAGAGATCTCCCACACTCTATATATGGGCCTTACCCTTCAAACTGCCAACAGGGGACAGCTGACTTTTGGAAGTCATCATGTAGGGATAATTGCAGTGACTAGTTCCCACACTGCCTTTCGGAGACCAGAACCCAAAGGCCGCAGCGCCCCAAAGCTTCCCGTCATATTCCCCTCTGCAAAAGGCCCGAAGCTGCAAGTAATTTCACCTCTCAGCCCTAATGAAGACATAGAGTCCCCCTGAAGTAGATAGAATATGGCTTTGGGTATACTATACATTGGGGTAATATAGGGATAATGGAAGAGAAAATGGAAGCTACTATAGTATATGTGGGTTGTATAGGGAATGTGGCTTTGGGTACATTAAACTAAGATCCCCATATACCCCATATTCTATCTACTTAAAGAAGACTATACCCTCCCCAAACGAACCTGGAACCCAGACAGCACCCTTCTAAAAGGGCAAGGTTTGGGTAAGGTAAAAGCTTTCAACCCTATGACAAAGAAGTCTGCTGCAGTTCAGAAACAAACCCTCACAAACAGGCACGATACTCCCCATATTTTCCCAATCCAAAGCCCTACCCCCTCAAGCCATCTCTCTATGCCATAAAAATCTAAGCCCTAAACCTTGAGGCCCTCAGCCTGAACCCTAAATATTGCATCTCTCTACACCCTACGCCCTCACACCTTAAGGGCAGGGCTTTCTTTAATCTGTGCATCACTCAGGCTCACGCCACGTTGTTGGGCTCGATCTGCCTGCTTGCATGGGGAATAGCAAGTGAAAGATCATCATGTTCCTCTGATATTATGAGAGACGGTGGTTGTAGATTCCTTATGGGATTTCAGTATAATACTAAGATTGAGAGATGATGTCCAAGAACAACTTAGCTATGAGTTAATAAGACGGGTGGCCTCTTTGAATTTGTTGGCACTTTGTAGCGGGGTGTGCAGGGATCAGCATTTTTTGTCTACTCGGACTATATCGGGTCATCTCAGGAACGGATAAAGAAGCTACTAACCAAATAACACTTTTGAACACTTGGCGACAAATAGGGGACGGGCCACAAAAATGCACTTTCGATAGGACCATGCGGGACTGAATACTCTTCAGGTCAAAAGGCCCGGCTATACTTCAACAAATATCTGCACCCCACAAAGCGCTCACAGTGTTAAGGAGCTACGCTCCGGCCATCATGTCACTCATGGTGCCCACCGGTTAGGGAAATTTCTGGAAGCCGCGAGCCCAAGGAAACACAAGAAAGTTGTTTGTAGCAGTAGCTCCTTATGTCGATGTCTTTCTAGGACATAAAAGGCATCACGAGCGTCCCTGTAGGGCTCATTTGAGACACGCCCCCATGAGACGCTACCACTGATACTAGAAAAACCTGCATGACCTTACTATACTATAATGCCATAATTTCCAAGGTTTAGGGTGCTTGGGGTTATGCAGGATTGTTAGTCTAAATCATAGGGGAGGACGAAAATCCGTCAAGGATCCTGGCGAAAAAAAAAAAACTTTTGCTCTCAGCGAAGCAGCTGCTTGTCATTTGCACTGCCATCATGGAGATGGGTTTGGGTCGGGGCCCGTCTGTCTTACATGCCCTAGCTCTAACCCTTGAACTCTTTGGAGCTACGATCATGAAGGATATGGGGGATACATGCGGGGAGAGAGAGATGGAGATATGTACATGTACACACATATCCATGGTGATAATCATGGGTGATCACAATCCAAATGTGGTCGTGAAAGTACCGACTTCTAACGGTATTAGGCACATAATCCAGCGATAAATGGGTTGTAAGTACAAGTTGACTACTGTAAGTAGGGTACAACTACTAACTTTAATCCCTAGATATTTCTATAACCCACCCTCAGTCGTAGTTGGGGTTAGGTTACTGGTGCTCATGGACTTCTAAGTAAATCCTAAGCCAGGACATAAGCATACTTAACTCTTCCCTCAGGATGGGTAGCGTTGAAATGCCTCTATCGAAGTCTGCCCTGCTGCGCCCAGCAAATATGTCTACTACCATCTGTATGGGTATATATGTAAAACGCAGATGTATCTGTAGAATTTCATCAGAAACCCTCTCCAAAACCAGCTTCAGCGCAACTATCTGCAAAAAACAAAACGTTGCACAAAACGATGGGTGTAGCTGCATTTACCCGAAGCTAGGCGACGTTTTCGCTGGCACAAGGAAGCAGGGAGGTCAACGCTTGGGTCTGGTTCGTGTATCGAAACATGGTACCTAGACAAACACGCACAGCACGAGGAGGATAGCGTGTAGTTCCAAGTCAGGCTCCGGTTGTGTGCAGCCCCAGAACATTCCGACCTGATTAACCCTGAGACCATAAGTCCTGAAAACCCAGGCAGGCGTCACTTCGGATATCATCCAGGACGGACCAGGGCCTGCATTCCTCATCCCACAGACAGACCAGCGGGTGGACCAACAGCTACAGCGGTTGACTGTCAATGCGCGGGGCTTTCTCCAAATCAAGGTGACCTTTTCAGTGGTCTACTTGAGAGCATATCATGGAATCATGGACCTTGATTTCCGAGAAACGCCCACATGGGTTTGTGCCTCAATTGCGGTGACCCGCAAAAAACCTTCTGTAATTCCATTATATCTCTTGGTCCCCAAGAGCCCTCGTTTTGTGAACCCTCAATTTGGGGACCTTAAAAGGTCCTGGTGTTGGCACACTTCCATATGGGACCACATCTTGCGCGGCTTGATCTCCAACACGCAGCCAGGGTTAAGGGTTCAAGGGCTCAGGGAGAGTTTGAGGAGCTTCTCATAACAACCAAGCCTTTCTGTGGGGCCTCATCCCGCTTCGATCTACTGTCTTATAAAGTGTGGATGTAAAATGTAAGCACCAAATTTAGCCAGCACAGGATAGCTAAGGCTACGCTGATAGATCGCCAGGAGGACACCATGGCCTTCTCAACTATCCCCCCACCAATTCCAGGGCAGCCTGGAGATGAGTATGATGGGTCAGGTAGCTTGGAAAACTATGAGACCAATTCTAATGCAAGTTCTCAGGAAGTTGGTCAAGGGTTACCAGGCTCGACTCGCAAAGACAAATCTCATCTTGGTGCTGGTGCCTACAAACAGGGCCTCGATATTGAAAATCGTCTTGGGGGATACCACGTACAACAAGAAGACAGGAATGTTACAACATGGAATACACTCTCGTAATTACGCCCATAAATTTCGTGTAGTGTGCTTAGCTGGCAAGCTGTGCAATAGAACTTCTTAAGAGTTGGAGCTTTCTGGGTCGTGCATGTACTACAATGATAGTTTGACAGCTTTGACATAATGCCGTGTTGCGGAGACGGATTCAACTCCTTGTACATTCTCCAATGTCTCTGTCTTTGGCATCATTGGTTGACGCTCTGTATACCTTCTTCCAGCTTCCAGGGGCTCACTTCCCCAACGAACTCTCGATATTCCGAGCTACAGTCCTTGCCTGCTCAGAGGGACACAAGATTCTGTTGGACACAGTAACTTACACCCCCTTAACTGACATCGACCCTCAAGAGAGGCCTGGTGTAGCCGCATGTAAGCAACTATCCCTTTTAGATTATAGTGCCTGCGCCCAAAACCGTGTGTATGTACATGTAGGAGTTTCTCAAAACGCCTCTGCGTCTATTTCGCCCTTCTGCTCGAAGCAGATGATCCACTCCCAATCCCCATAAATCCCCAGGGTCCATAAGATAATCCCAGTTGCAACAATGGTGCATCTAACTTACGCATACCGTACATAGTTCAGAGAGCATACGGTAACCCACAATGGCTGGACTTGGAGATGGAAGATGCCACGCACCGTGTCCAGTGCCACCGCTGGCAAGTTCTTTAGGTGGTTTCCCAATGACACCCCCTGTACAATCTCTATAACCCTTAGTAGTTCCAATTTTCTTTTCCATTATCCCTATATAACCCCAAGTAATCCCTATATAATCCCTTTAACCCCTAGTAGTTTCCATTTTCTTTTCCTTTCCATTATATTCAGGTGACTGGGAAGTTTCTCGACCTCCGGGCTGTCTCGGTTCTTGGAAGGCAAGTTGAAGAAAGGGTTATATGGGCTATAGTCTAAGTTTCTTAAAATATAAAATAGTTATATAAGGGATTATATACTGCAGTCGCCTTAGACCAATAATATAAATATATATATATATTCTTTTAAATATTTCCTTAGGGTTATACTATAATTAATAACAATTAGAATAATTACCAAGGACAGTGCAGTATAGGGGAATGCTAAAGGGGTTAAGAGAGATACTAGGAGTTTAGACTCTGACTCATATACAGATGTTCTCGTTGAGAAACCCCCTGCCGGCGCTTCCACAGCTTTTCTTTGAGCTGTGGTCTGCACATCCAAGTCGTCGTCAGACATGGCAGGTATTGAAGCGATGTACTACGGATGTTTTGGGTTGAGGGCTAAAGTTTAGGATCAAAGGAATTAACTGAGTGTGCAATTGAAAGTTGGGAGCATGTAGGGCGTGTGACCTGGTATATTTTTGAGCGTGTCTTGACTTAATATGGGGTATGTAGGGTTTGTAGGGCATGTAACCTGGTATTCTTTGGAGCGTGTCTTGATTTAGTATGGGGCTCATAATAGTGGGGTATAATGGGTAAACTCACTAAATCAAAAGAACCTTCAAGTAAGGGTAGTACATACTGCCACTAGCTTTGTTGCTACGGGGCTTTCAAGTTTGTGCGAACATTCTGCGGTCACCTGGCAAAGGTATTGAAAGGTATCATTTGAATGTCTTTGCTCTGCATCTCCACATATTTCCCGGGTACTCTTAGTTGCAGGCGCCATGCTGAATGGGGTTATCATGGGGATAGCAATGCTTACTATCCGGTAGGGGCCTTTATACCGCGGAGACAACTACCCATGAATTTGTCAGAAGGCCCCTTCTGTCACCCAAGACCCCATCAAGTTGCATGCAATTCCATGGGTTGCTAAGTACTTGGCCAACTCCTAGTATCCCCCTTACTAACCCCATAATACTCCCCTAAATAATTCCTATATAACCCCCTTTAAGGAGTTTAGACTATGGCTCAGGTGAGGGCTCCTCAAAATGAGGGAGGCATAGGGACCCTAGAGACAAATTTGGGATTTGCAGGAGGTTTTGGAGGTTCCCCTTCAGCATTCTGTAGGCATCCTTTGGAGAACTCTCAAGTGTTCTTGCTTAATACTCCTAACTGCCGTTTCTCAAGCACACTGAAGCGAAGATCTACCGTCACTTCAAAAAGATTAGTATGTCCGTTAATGGTTGAACCAAGTAAGATTATGTTCTTAATACAAACATCCACAAGCCACAGGAGAAAATGCCATGGATTAGGGACTACAGCATGATATCCCTGCTTCAAGCACTACCAATAAGGAAGCACGAAGGAAGCCCACGAAAAATACTGTCCTTTCAAGAAGGACCGTAGGGGCTTCCGTGTTTGTTTGGTGGAGGGTATGCGCAATGTCCTGCTGTTCAAGACGAATACTATTCCCTTGTTATGTAACGTACTCCAAAACCAAATGCTCAGAGTATCCTGCATACAACCCCTCTCTACCTTTCTCTCTCTTTATGTAAGCAGACCGCTCATGTCGATGATACTGCGAAACCCTTTTGCTATCAAACAGGCACTTGCTTTAAAGGGCTAGAAATCAGTATCCTACTAGAAACAAGAACCGGCAGTGCTCACATCCAGTATCATCCCAATAGCGGCTCCTCGGTCAAGTCTCCAAGAAAGCCATT